AATATAATTCATAGCATAGTCCGCATCCAGACTTCATAAGCGAAGGTGTTTCTAAGTTGTGTGCAACACGTTCACACTTCCAGCCCCACTGTATGTCGAAACATTATTGTATGATCCAGCGTGGCGACGCATGTTTTCTATGACCGTCGTTGAGAGAGAAGACGACGGAATGCATCTCGTTTCAAAGTAATTAGGCGAACTGATCCACATGCTTTGACTGTTGTTTGACGTGGAATGTCGTGAGAAGACACTTGAGGAATAGAAAAAATGTTCTCTATCATTGTCCGATACTTTCATAAACCCGCAAATTACTAAATATTAGTAAAATCAAATCAAGAACACACATTAATTATATACATTGAATCTGACTCGAAAATTGTTAATCTACATTTGTTTGCTCAGAATCTGTTGTATTCGATGGTTGCTGTTCCGATCCTTTTTCCTCATTATTCTCGTCGGCCTAACATCATCCAGATCATCTTCAACAATCTCTTCATTGGGAGTAGGTAAATACTCTGTATTCGGGTATAACTTGTCACAACATGTCCTTTGCCTCTTTAGTAGACGCGTCGAGATCGATAGTTAAGCATACATATTTTGAGGCATTAAATCATCTTGTCATGAACCAGACCGACATATTTTTTTTCTCTTTGTCAATGACTATGTTATGAACCCTTCTGCCATTGATATGTGGGACGGCTCGAAGTTGTGAACTTTTTTTCTTTGGTAATTATTCAAGATAGAACATAAGGAAATGAGGAGGGGGGGGGGATAAATTAAGTCATACACAGTATTGATGAAACTCTTTTTGTACTACGATAGATACGCATGACAAGCGATGAAGGCTGGTGTGACATCTTCAGCCAGTCATCAGCTTTATAATCTTGTGTACTGTATATTGTTCTCTTGGACTACCCCCAGTAGCCTGTGGGTTTTGTTGCAGAAGCGTGACCTTTGCGGGTTGAAAAAAAAAATAGGTTTAGATTGAACGCCTTTTTCCTGTTCCCATTATCGTTTGAAGATAGCTATTTACTAGATACGATTTGTACTTCGTATTTATACGTTACAATCACACGATTTACAATTGGTTGATGTTACAATCAATCATACGATACAATACATACTTCGTAATCTTGCGAATAAAGCATTTAGTTGCTCAGTAAAATTGCGTTAGGTCCGCTGTTCACGTGTTTACATTTATCACTTTAATATATTGTATACAATAGTTTCTATTGCTATTTAATATGCATGTGACTGTTATGTTTACCCACACCTGCATAAAGCAAACGCAACAATGAGATCACACGTTTAACGGTGACGTATTTCTCCCTGAATTTCTACGCAATCAAATTATATGATACGATACGATACGATATATAAATAGATTTCAGTAGAATCTTGTTATTTACCCACACCTGCAGTCACTGATTTACTGTTACACGAACAAGGGTTAGGGTTAATTTATATCGGATGCGCGATTGCATGTAATGCGAGGAATTCACGATTGTCGCTCACAGCTTATGTTATGAAGCATAAGAGAAGAGATTATTGATGTAGTTATAAGATTTGCTAGCCATAGTAACTCTGTTGCAGGGCGAGTATATTATTTTGAACAATCGTAGGAAGAGTTTATCTTCTACACATCACAATACCCATTAATATTTCTACCATATACAGTGTGTTACAAAATTATTCGGAATTTTTTACGCGT